AGGACTCATAAATATTACTTGTAAAATAAAAAATGAATTTATACACTTGTATAATAAAAATATAACTCGATAAAATTCACTAAAAAAAACAATAAAATCATGACTAAAAAAAAAAATTGAACTCATTTCATTTCCTTTCTATGCAGTATAACAATTAATAACAATGCATAACAATTTTACACTTTAAATAAAAAAAAAAATCAAATAATTAAAATTAAAACCATTTTTCATGAATTTTGGTCTGTACAAAACCTCAGAATATTCTTTTTGTTTGTTTCCCAGTCATCTTACTTCCGAGTCACTATCCGAGTCACTGGAACTGTTCTTCGACTCGTCCGACATGAAATTCGCCGGCAGTTTTGGGAACCTAAAAACCCTAGGCGATTCCGGCCCCGACGCCGACGCCGACGATGTTGCAGCTACAGATACCGACACAGGTTTTCTCTTCTGCACATTTCTCGATATATCTATACAAACCTGATCCACCATTCTCAGAAATTCCTTCACTATCACGAACAATTGCAGAGGATTCGCCCCTTTGTCCTTCGCCGATCCGGCGTGGTAGTAATCGGTGGTTTGCTTCACCAGATCCATCACCCTCGTTTGTTCTTCCTTCACCACTTTCACCTCCAGCTCCGCCGTATCCAGGAACGCATTCATCTCCCACGCAAACCCTCCCCCGCCGCCGCCGCACTCCGCCGCAATTCTCCGTATCTCCGCCACCTGCGCGGCCAACGCCGAGCTCGTTTTCACGAGAAGGTCGTAGTCCAGCACCGCCGCTTTCTTCACGTTCGAGAATTCATTGCTCAGGCCGCCGATCACCGGCAATCCCAGCATCATGAACTCCCTTTCTCTCTCATCCTTCGACACGGCGCTCTCGGAAACCTGCCGCCCACCGCTGCTGCTCTGGCTACTCGTCCTGCTCAAACTCCGGTTTCTGTTCAAAATGCAGCGTTTCCCCTCCGCCCGAACCACTTCCTGGACGACGAATTGAAGCAGAGTCGTCTTCCCGTCGGAGCTTTTAACATCGGAAAGCTTCGTGAGAGCGTTAAGATTGAAAGCATGCGCGTTTCCCCTCGAAGTTCCCGCATTCAAACGATTCCCCGCCTTGAGCACAGCTTCTAGAAGCTTCAGGAACAATCCACGAGTCCTCAGTTCATTACACGCAGATTCAAGCGAGTTCAACGATTCCTTAATGTGCGAAACCTCGGAGTCGAAATTCGATCTGAACAGCATTGCATTGAAACGACTAAACGCCGACGGGACAGCTTTGAGGAGGTGGTAGAGGAACGATTCTGCATCGGCCAGCCTTGAAGGATCTCCACCGAACGCCATTATCTGAGCCGATTCCTCATCGGTCGGTGCAATTCTCGTTAGTTTTTCGATTGTATCGGAATTTAAGCCATGCCCTTCGATTAGTGCATCAATAATTTCTCCGCGTGTGATGCCGAGTGATTTTAGCACGATTGCTGTGTTCTGTGACTTACGTGTGTCGAGGATGAAAATCCGCGATGAAGGGCCCGTTTTGTCGCCTATCGGGCTCGATGACGTGGCGTCTCTTTGAGGGGATTTTCTGTTTGTGGCAACGTATCCGAATAGTGCTTCCATAAGATCGCCATCAAACCTGCATTTACATGAAAAATCAAGAAAGGTTAAATGAGGCCTTAAATAAGAAAGATTGATTTTGAATGGAAAAAAAAAAGAGAATTTTTGGAGGGGGTTAGATCGTTTACTTGAAAGAGCCCTTGTCGAGTTTGTCCCACACCATTGAATGCTTAGCATTTGGATTCACTTTATCCCAATGCAAGGGCTTCAATTTCGCCTTACCACTCGCATCTCCTTCTCCCCCGAGTGAAGTCGCGCGCTTACCAGGTGGTGGCGCAGGTGGTTTCATTACCGAAGCCGAAGCATTAGATGTCGGCGGCGGTGGTGGTGGAGCAGGACCTTTATTTGAAGGAGGTGGAGGAGGAGGTGGTGCTGCAGCCATTTTCGCCACCGGAACTGCCGCAAAAACAGCCGGTTGTGGCTGAGATGATGATGGTGGTGGAGGTGGTGCTGCAGCCGTTTTCGCCACCGGAACTGCCGCAAAAACAGCCGGTTGTGGCTGAGATGATGATGGTGCTGTGGATGGCAGGAAAGGTGTTTGCGGCCGTGGCGGCAGTGGTGGTGGTGCTGCTCCTGGTGGTGGAGGTAGTGGCGGCATTGGTGTGAATTTCGTAACTTGAACGGAGGAGGAAGATTGATTCTCCATAGCTTTGAAAGACATCGCATTTGAAGTTGAAGGAGTTTTGTTGCTTCTGTGGTCTTCTTTGTCGACCCAAACGGAGCTTTGAGAAGTCGAAGATTTTCCTCTTAGCAGAGGAACTTCTTGCACCGGTGGCTTAGATCTTCTCTCTCTATCACTAATAACTCTCTTCTCTTCTTCCTTTTGCTCATCTTTCAAGTTCTTATAGCTCTGTTTCTTGAAACTAGTTCTGTTTGATCGATCGTCTTCTAAATCCCTCCAATACAGCACATCCAATCCATCTTCGTCAACTATCACCCCTTTGAGCTTGCCGTTGAATCGCTTGAATTCGTCGCTCGGAGGCACGAACGAATTGCCCCCTCCGTGCGGAGGAGGAGGAGTGGCGGCAATAGCGGCAGCAGCAGCGAGGTTTTCGTCTCTCCTCCGGCGATCTCGCCGGAGGAGTAGAAAGATAAAAATCCCTGATATGACTACAGCGCTGGCAGCTGTGACGCCGATTGCTTTTCCCACCGCCGACTTTGTCGATGATGGTTTACTCGGCGGTGGCTGTGGTGGCGGAATTGTGGTGATTGGTGGGGTATTATCATTGGGTGGAGGAGGAGGTGGTGGAGGTGGAGGAGGAGGAGGAAGCCGCGGGGGAGGAGGAGAAAATGGATAGAAAGTCTCGATGTTCTGCTGCGAGAGAGATCGAGGGATATCAGAAATGGAGAGAAGGATGAATAATAGTAGAGAGAGAAATGTGGTTGGCTGGAGATTGGCAGCCATGGTTGTAGCTTGTAAAGAATTGAAGAGCTTCTGAAGTTGAAACTATTATTTTGAACATTGCTTAATGATCTTGTTTTTGTGTCATAGTTTGTTTTTTAAATTTCTTTTACTTTTTTTTTTTTTTTGTTTGTTTGGTTTGGTTGCTTGAAAGTGTCAAAGGAGAGCAGTTGGTTATTGTTTTGGTGTATTGAACCCTTCTTAGCCCTTCGTCGTGTAAAATGACCGAAATACCCTTTCTTTCGAGCTGGTAACCCAATTGTAATTAGGGTTATTTGGGTTAATTTTGGGCGTTTGTGGAAATATTCTTCATTTGTTCTTGAGTAAAGTCTCCCATGGCTTGAATAATTTTTTTGTTGAATTAGTGTAATAATATTACCACACACGGTTGTGTTAATAATAATCTAAACATGGGATTATTAAATAGTTAGTAGAGGATTAATGAAAATAATAGCGATGTGTGACAGCTAATAACGCGCGAGAAAGTCAGAAGGAAGACTGTATCAAATAAGACAACCTTTTCATTTGTGTTTTCATCATTTTTAGGTCATAAGCCATTGAAGTAGTCATTTGCGGTCAAAAAGAAATAGTCTAAATTTTATTTTATTTTTTTATTATTATTTTTATTTTGTACGATAATGATATTGAAGATGTAAGGAAATGATTGTTTTTTTTTTCTTGAAGTGGGCAAGCAAGGTTAAATAATATAATATTATAGGGGCAATTTGGAATTTTGTACACATTAGTGTTTTTTATGATAATTAGTATGAAAGTGGGAAAAGTGAGACTTGTTCTCATTCAAAAAATTGGGTGGTTCACCTAAATATTATGCTAACTCTTATAAAGAATTTAAAATGGTCAAGAATTTCTAAAGAAAATATTGGGTTAAGAATTTTTGTTACTAAAATATTGAATATCGTTTCAATTTTAATAATATTGTATTGACTTCGAACGTGATTTTGACTATTTTTTAGTTGAAGTTTGGAAAATTTCGATAATTGTAGCCATTTGGATTAGTTTTCTAATCCAATTTGAATTAGATGAATTGAATGTCAAATAACAAAGTTATGCATGAATCAATTATATTTTGAACTTTACATAATTTAAAACATCAAAGTCGTAGGTAGTATTCATTGATCTAAGCAAATATTTCTCACACGACATCCAAATTCCGTGATTCAAGTTAAATTAGAAATCTAACTCAAAGAGCTACAAATTCAGTGTTTTGAATTTTGCCCAATTCAAACTAAACAATGATCAAAATCTTGTTTAAATTCAAACAAGATTGTTGAATCTGAAACGATATTTATCACGCCATTTTTTTATTATTGAAAATGTTGTTTGAATTAATAAGACGAAACTTGAATATTCGAAGTCCCAAAATAATGAAGTTGTTAGAAAAAAGAAAGGTGAATTCATCCACTTTGCATTACTACAAATTGCAATTATGAAGTGGTTGAAAAGATAAATAAAAATCCAAATCACTAGCTTCGAATTTCTTGATGCTTCTTAGAAGCATTTGAAATCTATATGTTTTTTACCAAAATAAAAATAAACAATCGAAGAAGTATATTTATATGAATATTGTATATATATATATATATATATAATATATATATAGGCAACTTAAGTCAACCGAACTAATACTCTCAAATCTCAATCTTTATTCGTTGGCACTTTCCTCATATCTTTGACTTTTTGTGGGGCAGAAATTCAATTATTCTTAGGTCTTCAATATTCATATTCAGACTTGGCATTTATTGTGGCCAATCTATTTTTCACAGTTTTGGTTGGTGGCATTTAATATTACAGTTTTTGAGTTGTTGGGAAATTATTTTGTACATACCAAGGTTTATTAAATAAATTACTGAGTTCCATGGATTTATTTAAACCTCCCTAATTATTTTTCCAATGAATTCATTTACTGCAACGGATAATACCCGACAATATAATTATTTATATATTAAAAAAAAAAAACACACAATATGATTGTCTATTTAAAACATGACATTGTTATATGTAGGGGTGGGAATGGGTTGACTCAGTCGATTACCGGCTTAAAAATCGACATCCGACAGATCAGTTTTGTTCAAATTTAAAAATCATTGTCGACCCAAATTTTGTGAGTTGGACGATGATTGACAACTGAATATTTGGTTCTAAAATGGGCTAGTTGATAGGTATACATACGGTTCCTTCGATCCTACACCCGGTGATAAACACTGGGTGGGTCTTCTGCTGCCACGTGTCCCTTTTTTTTTATTTTTCTAAAGTCTCTAAAGGTAAACCCTAGCGGGGAATAAGTTATAAAATACAAAAAAGAGACACGTACATTACGTTTAGTGCCATTGTGCCATCATCATTTATTGATAATGATTCAAAATAATTAATAGCAATTTGGAGAAGAGAAAAATGAAATTCAAAACAATTCTAGACATTCACATTCTGCCATAATTCCATAATGTCATAATTACTCGTCGGTTCGTAACAACTAAAAGCAGATTAACAAAAACATAAAATTTGTGTGATATTGATTTAGGCAAGGATTGACTGACTTGGAGTGGGACAAAAACATCAAATTTGTCATTCTTAATATCTTCGAATGTGAATATGAAACAATATATCGGCTTTGAAGAAAAATTAGTTGACCTCAAAAACGCGGAAAAAAATAAAAAAAAAGTTTAGCAGAATTTGGATAGAAACAAATGAAAAATAAATAAATAAATAAAATATAATAAATTGAAAAAAGTTATAAATTATAGTACACAAAATAAAAAATTTAGAGCCTCGTATCATGTATTAAAAATAAAATAAAATTAAGATCTTTATATAATTTTAGATTTTTTTATATATAAAAAAGAATTAATTTACTATCATGGCCTAGTACAAGTTGGGTCGGGCCATGGCATTCGTTTTGGGCCGGGTCGCATGCATATCCCAATGGGTTGTGTCTTAAGCCTAAGTCCATTTATTTGACTTTATCAACCCATTTCCCATATCCCATATGTAAATTGTTATATCGTAAATTTAAGTTAAAAAAAAAAAAAAAAAAAAAAAAAAACTAGTCGAAAATGTGAGTTGATGATTTGATGAAATTTATTAAAAAAACGAACTCAATGAATTTTACAATTATGAATTATAAATATATTTTACTATAATACAAATAAACCTTTTGACGGTGGTAAATACTAGATCACATTGGATAGGGAAGTTGAATAAGGTGGGAGAGCAAAGTGGATCACGTGTTCACGAGCTAGATGGTCCTGAGATTCCTACGAATAGAACACACGTAAACGTATAAGGCGGGGTTGATCCGGTGGAAACTCCTCCAATGCTCAAGTTAGATATCTGGATCGTGGATATTGTAGAGAGAATGTAAACACTAGAATTGCATTGAATCATAAAGTGTACCTTAACAAATTAGTTAAAACCTAAATTTATATGTCGTCGATTAGGTTGGAGTTATTTTGTTGGGGCCAAGCCTTATTTAAAGGTGTTTGGGCTTTCATTGTAGTGGTCCATTAGATAAATAAATCGCAGGCCCATTGAGTCGGCCCAATTAGGCATATCACTTTTGATCATGTATGATATTACGCGGTCAAGTTTCGAGTAACGATGGTCTTGTTTCGGCCTCAGGAAGAGATCTTCGAGAAAATGATGTTCGCAGAGCGTGAACTAGACTCCCTTAGAATTATTCGTTCAAGATGGGCTTTCGAATTGGGTCTGGCCTTTTCGGTAATCTAGTTCGATCCATGTGATTCGACCCATTTTGCCAAATCCAACCCCATCAACTTTCACTTACAAGCCACAAATAGTCCACTTAAAAATATAATTAATGAACATATTTCATTTTATTTCGAGAAGGTTTGCTAAAAATATTTTTCAAACCCTAAAAATGTAACACAATAAAAACAAAAAATATAATAAGAACTAATTTGAAAATAAAACTATTCAAGTAACATAACATCATTAATCATATTATTAGACGAAATTGGAGCAGACAAAATGTGAATATAATTATAACCAAATCCCATTAATAAATGGGAAGAGCTGTTCTGAATGATCTTGCCGGGGCAGCTGTCCCTCAAAAGATGCTCTTTTTTTTAATTATTTTATTTTATTTTGTGGATAAATGCTCTGTTCACAACACACATCAATTATATGTCTTTGATCAAAATCGGAATCCAATATTCTTTTTATAGCAGACAAGAATTGAAATTAAATATAACCCCGTATCCGAATCAAATCAATCTAAATCCTAATTTTATTCAATTCCAACCCACACTATCATCTGTCATCAAAGATTTTCTACTTAATATTTAATAACAATATCTTTTCCCACCAAATTTCTTTCTTAACAAGGTTTTTTTTGGGGTGTAATAAATTCTTTAAACTTTTGTATTGACATTCTTTTCTAATCAATAGGAGTAAAAAGAAAAACAAAAAGAACAAAATTGACAAGCCAAAGAAAAAAAAGGAAATAATAATAATAATAATAATAATAATAATCCTACTCTCTTTTTTTTTTTTTTTTTTTTTTTAATATGGATACTTCAACTATCGTCGCTCACTTTGACGCGCCTAGTAGGCGAGTCGAGAGAAGTAGGCGAACACGGTGTTGATGGTAAAGACGAAAATGACCTTGGAGAACACGGCGACGAAGTGGAGGAATGGGATGGACTTGAGAGGGCGTTTTCGTCAAGGGATGGCGCGTTCGTAATTTCGGGACTGTCTTGTTGTAATTTTCTCTTGTTGAACGCTCTTTCTTGTTTCGGGATTCGGCCTTCGCCAAACATACATCTCTTCAACCGTTTGACATCCGCCAGTTTTACGGGCTTTACTATGAAATCTTCGGCACCTTCCTCCAAACAACTGCATTTTCAACTACTCATTAGATTAAATAAAAAAAAAAAAAAAAAAAAAAACCGGAAAGTGGGCAAACGTTTAAACGATCTAAAGCACAATCCGATTCATGCTTGCCCTAGATAAGATTTAATTATTGCAAATCTAAATTAGGTGTAACTTCTTCAATAATATTCTTACATGTAACGGTTGGTTGTCGATTCATCGATTCTAGTCATTTAAAGAAAGGCTAGTTGAACATAAACTATATTTGATCATACTTAACACTAAATTATCATTAACCATAGTAATTAAAGCATGGTGATACAGAGATTAAACTATAATCGATCAAAAATTGTATTTACGACACGTAATTAAACAAGATAATCAAGAAAGATGGGATTTTTATTACCTGTCAATCCTAGCCAAAACGTTTTCGGACGACATAATCACAACCGGTATTTCTCTAAAAATAGACGACCCCTGTTCAGACAACACAAATTAGGACAAAATTTCAACTAATGCAATTATTTAATATAATTTTTTTTCCAAGAATTAATTATTCCAAATTATTAACCTTGATTTTCTTAAGCAACTCATAGCCAGTCATTCCAGGCATGCAATAATCTGTAATTATCAGATCTACCTTTAAATCCTGAAAAAGAAAGAGAGTATATATTAATCAACACAATATTAATTAATCTTTAAATCCATAAATAAATTTAAAAAAAAAGGAAAAATATGGAATTATCAAAATATTACATCAAAGCCAACAGAGGCTGTTTCCTCCTCATCCAACCCTAGAAATTGTAAAGCCCTCCTCCCACTATCAACTGCAGTCACTGCAAAAACACCCAATTTTTAAATTAAACAAAAAAGATCAAATTTTTTTTAATGAAATTAAATTAAATTCAAGAAAAGCACTTTTTTTTGTAATTACCTTTGCAGGAAGTGATTTTGAGCAACTTCTCAATGACTTTTCGGTCAACAAGGCTATCATCAACAGCAAGAACATGAACTTCATCAGAATCACAGCTAGGGTTTGCATATTCATATTCATCCACCCCTTCAACTTTTTCCAATCTCCTTAATCTCGAAAAGACTCCATTTTTCGACATTTTTTTATTAAAATATCAACAACCCAGATCAAGAAAATCTCTAATTTAATTTATTACAGCAGCTTTAGAAAAAAAAAAAAAAAAAAAAAAAAAAACTCAAGCACACATATATAAATGGCGGAGGAAAATGTATTGTGAGAAAATGCAAATATAGTGGTCAATCTGTCTGTGTCAAAATATATATGATATGATACCACACGCCTTTTTCTTCCCACTTATATATATATATATATAAATATATGTATGTATGTGTATGTATATATGTGAATAATAATAAAAGAAAATTTGAAATGTGTAAGGAAAAAACCGAGTCTTGAAAATCAAATCTGCTGAAATCTACTTTTTTAATATATAAAAAGCATCGGCTGAGATTCTGTAATCCACTTTGGTGGTGATATGATTTTGCCATATCCACGAGAGATTTTTTTGATGTTTTCGAGGCCTTTTATTGGAATTTCTCGCGATATTTTGAGTTACTGGATGTTATTAATCGTAACAGCGCCGTCAAAAATTAAAACGGGGTGGTTAAACGGACGCCGTTGGTGAATTGAATGAAACGGGGATTAAAGGTTGTACCCTACGCAGCAAATGTTGGACGGCTTCCCCACATACATATATATCCCTTTGTCAATTGATAGATATGGGGTTTGAAAAATGAACGGAATTATTTAATGATACATTGAATATTTATTAATAACCAAAAGTGATTTTTTTGTCCACTCAATCCATCTCAATAAAACCATATGTACCCAATGTGATATTTCTTGATTTATCGTGTTTTCGATAACATTTATCTAATATTTTACTATTACATATAAAAATCTCGAAAATAAGCTAGGATTGATGAACCATAACTCCGTTAGTCCGTTATTAACAAATGTTAAAGGTTGGATTCAACTCATAGTAAAAGTTTGTTCATGTATGATATGTAATATGCAACATCTCAATAATATTCAAATTTATCGTAGATTTTTTTTGACAATGTCCAAAATTTTATTAAAACGCTATTAGGAGACAAAAAAGAAAATTTTAAAATTGATTTGACAATGAATGGTCGCTAAGAGACCAAGTAGCAGCCATGTGTGACCTCACTGCGAAACGTTGCATGTACCTCACTAATTTACAATTATTTATATGCTACACTTGATGAAAGTTACACTGAATAAATTTCACGGTTGATCTACAAACTAATACAGGTGTTTGTTTGTATGCTAATGCATAGTGAACATTTACCGCGTGTATTTCATGCAGTGTAGCATTGTACCCGTAATTTACTACTTACGTTGCAATTCAAAACAATACTACACGAATGGACCAAGGGTAAAATCAATATTTCACATTTATTGAATTTAATAAATATTATATAGGAAGCAAAAGAATTAAAATGAGGAAAAGAACAAGAAACCAAACAGGTCCAGATAGAGAAAGAGAGGAAGATCGGGGGCTCCCAAGGAAATCTTTTGGTGGGCCCCACCCACATACTCCCTTTTTTTTAGGTTGGACTTTTGCTCAGACTCCAATATCTCGTGCTAATTACGAAAATTCAATATCTCATATCGCCACATCCTTATATCTTCTCCCAACCAATTTTTACCCACTCGTTTTTAACTTTTCCCTTTTTTAACTTTCTTGTACTTAATTTTTTTGGCGCATTTAGCTCCCAATGAAGATATTCTATCAAATTATATTAAATAAAAAATAAAAAAATAATGATGAAGAATCAGTTAACTTTGAGTGAATATTCTTAAATATAAATCTATTTTGAAGATATATTTATATATAAAAATATTAAAGTGTTTTGAAATTAATTGATTCAAGTTTCACTAATTAATCAAGGGAATTGACTAATGACTAATTTAATAAACATATATAAGTAATTAAATTAAAAAAAAAATGTAACCAGGTGGAATGAACCCAATAAAAAATAAAATTGAAATATTAAGATATAATAAGAGAAGGGAATTGCTTTTTGCGGTTTGAAAATTGCTATTTGCGGTTTTTGACAAAACCCCCCAAAAAAACATTTTATCTCACTAAAACCCCAAAACTTTCCAAAAAAATCCAAAAACCCCCCCAAAACGCCTAAAAGCCCAACTTGGGCGCCCATTAATGCAGTGCACGCCCAAGTTGGGCGTGCAAGCTGCATTTGGGCGCCCGAGTTGGGCGTCCAGTGCAAAATTTCTTTTTTTTTTTTTTTTTTTTAAAATTGTCGAACGCCCAAGATGGGCGCCCAAGGCGTGTACGAACGCCCGGA